TGCACCCATGTTCATAGCAGCACAATTTGTAATAGCTAAAACTTGGAAGCAGCCCAATTGCCCACCAACTGGAGACTGGAAGAGTCTCCAGTTGATGGGCAATTGGGAGATGGGGACATGATAGTCCTTATAAAGAAGATGTGGTTGTTTTATAAAATGGAGTACTACTCAGCCATAAAGAAAGAGAAACTAGAGACATTTATAGCTAAATGAATGCACATTGAGGACATACTCTTAAGTGAAATAAATAGGACACACACATGTAAATACTGAATAGTTTCTCTAGTGTGAGAAACTGAAAGTGTAAAGAAGGATTAAAATGATTAAAACAAATAATTGATAATTTGAAATAGGAAGTAAAGGTCCAAAGGCGTAGGGGTAGTGGGAGGGGCAGGGGAAAGGAAAGAAGGGAAAGGAAAAATTATAAGAAAATGAAAAAATGGAAACAAAGTCTATGTAAATAGGGAAGGGTGGAGAGGGGGAAGGGAGCAAAGCGAATGGGGAAAAAATAAGAACCAAGATACATCATGCACAGGTACAAGCACCCAGTGATAAATGTAAACGTATTGTATACCTAAAATGTACCAATAAAAGAATGTAAGCAAAAAAAAAATTGGTTACCTACCCGGTAATAAACAGAAAAACTGTTGTCTAAAAGTAACAAAATATTCTGATTTTCTTGAAGAAATCAAGAATAAAAAGCGCTTGACTGAAGCTGGTCCTTGGTTAGTGAAGTTACATTTGGCAGATAATGGAATAGATGGCAAAGGAGAAGGAGAAAGCTTGTTGGAATTTACTCAAATGCTGACATGGTAAGTAGCAAATTAAGTGGTTTTATTTGTTAATTTTCCAAAATTAAGTGCTTAAATTGAATCATGGGAGCAATGATCCAGCCTTTTAGGGGTTTCTAGTTAGGTTCTTCAGCTCTGAGAGGAAAGCATTAAGCCCCCTTGGTCTTGGCACCCAAAACAGCAAACTGTTGTGTGTGACCCCATAGTGGGGTCTCAGCGATCTCACTAGGTGAAGTTGGCAGCTGCGTCAAGACAGCAGCGATGACCTCCAGGGTTTTCTCCCTTAAAGTCCAGATTTAATTAAAATGTTAGTCGTGTGACCTGGGGAAGAAGGGTGGCCTACTCGGGAGTGATTAAATAAATTTGTCCCAGCCTCCTCAGGCAGAAGGATGGAGCTATTCTCAGAAGCTTCTAGAAAACAGAATGTTTCCTATCCCTGTTTATCCTGACAACCTTAGGTACCTTCCTATCCAGCTCTACAGAGCCCATATCCTCACTGGGCCAAGCCACGAGTTAGAGTTTGCAGCCACATTAGAAAAACTTGCTTGGCACTTGAAGCGCCTTGGGGCGACCACAGGCAGAAGCACCCAGCCACAGTGTAAGGTTTGAGGGCTTGTTATGGTTTTTTAAAAAAAGATTCCTTACCTAATATATTTTACTTCCTTATTCAGGAAGGATGGGAAGATTATCTACCTAGAAAGCTGTGCTGCTCTTTCTATACTAACTACATTAGAAAACTTCATTTAATTACCTTTTGACTATACTACTGGATTTAATACATGACCTATGTATTATCCTTTTGAGACTGCTAAATTTTTGTTACAGGTTTTACATCAATGTTCCTGAAGTATATTGGTCTGTACTTTTCTCGTAACATCTTTGGTTAGGATCAGCGTGATCTGACCTGATAGAATGGGTTAGAAAATGTTCCCTTCTATTTTATTTTATGAAATCATTTGGTAGATTCATCAGTGAAGACATCTGGATCTAGAGCTTTCTTATGAGATTTTTAACTACAAATTCATTTTTCAGAGCCAGGTGTGGTGGTGCACCCCTGTAATCCCAGTACTCAGGAGGCTCAGGCAGGAGAATCACTGTGAGTTCAAGGCCAGTCTGAGCTACATAGTGAGACCCTATCTCAAAAAACAAAAGCAAAACAAATCCATTTTTCAAATAGGTATAGGATTATTCTGGTTATTTTTTCTTCCTGTATGAAGCTTTGGTAGTTTGTGTCTATTGAGGAATTTGTTCATGTCCCCTAAATTCCCAAATCCATTGGCATAGTTATTCATAATATTTCCTTATGATAATTTTAATGTATGGGATCTATAGTGATGTCTCCTCTTTTATTGTTTTATTTTACTTACTTTTGGTTTTTGTAAAACCTGTAACAGGGTCTCACTATATAGTTCAGGCTGGCCTTGAACTCATTATGCAGCCCAAACTGGCCTCAAACTCATGGCAATCCTCCTGCCTCAGGCTCCCAAATGTTAGGATTATAGGAATGCTCAACCATGCCCAGCTCCTCTTTTATTGACATTGGTAATTTGTATTTTCTCTTTCTTCTGATCTACCTGATTAAAAATTTATCCAACACCACCACCACCCTACAGTACTGGGAGTTAAACCCAGGGCTTTCACACTCAGCTATATCCCCAACCCTTTTTATTTCTTATTTGGAAACAGAGTCTCACTAAGGCACCAAGTTGCCCAAGTCAGGTTCCAACTTGCAATCTCTCTGCCTCAGCCTCCCAGAGTACTAGGATTACAGGCATATGCTACCACACACCCTGCTTGAAATTTATCCGTTTTATTGATCTTCTTAAGTAACTAGCTCTTGGTTTTCTCTACTGTATGTTTTCAATTTCATTTATTTCATCTCTTTATTATTTCCTTTGTTCTGCTTACCTTGGGTTGCATGGAGCTTTTATTTCTATGTTATTAAGGTAAAGGCTTAAGTTATTGATTTTAATCCTATTTTTCTCATATAAATGATTACATTAATACTAGGTACTGCTTTCATTAAACTTATAAATTTTGATATGTTATATTTTCATTCTCATTTAGTTCAAACTATTTTTTTTTCTTTTTTTTCTTTTTTTTTTTTGTACCAGGGATCGAACTTGGGTCCTTGTGCTTGAGCAGCAGGCGGTGAAACCACTAAGCTAAATCCCTGGCCCTCAAACTATTTTCTAATTTCCTTTTTCAATGTTGGTTTTATTTTTTTCCGGTACTGGGGATCAAACTCAGGACCTCGTGCTTTTGAGGCAAGCGCGACACCACTGAGCTAAATCCCCAGCACCTTTTCATTGTTTTTTGACCTGTGGGTTATTTAGATGAATGCTATTTAGTTTCCATATACTTGTTTTAATTTTTTTTAGACAAGATCTATCTCTGTAGTCTCTCTGGCCTGGAACTCCCTACGTAGCCCAGACTGATCTGGAACTTGAAATCTTCCTGCCTAAGCCTCCTGAGTGCTAAGACTATAAGGCATACACTACCATGCCCACTTTTAATTTTTGAGATATTTTCTCTCATTTATTTCTAATTAAATTTTGGTATGCTTGGAGAACATACTTGTTTTATTCATTTTATGACCTAGATCTAATCTATCTTGGTAAATTGCACTGGGAAAGAATATGTTTCATTAAATTTTTTAGATTTTTAGAGACAGGGTCCTGCTATATAGTTCAGGCTGGCCTTGAATTCTGTATGTATCTCAGGTTGGCCTCAAACTTGTAGCAGTCCTCCTTCCTCAGCCTCCCAAGTGCAGGAATTACAGCTAAGAATATGTATTTTAATGTTATTGGATGGAATCTTCCATAAATGTCAATTAGATCAAGTTAGTTGGCAGTGTTGTCCAAGTCTTCTATGTCTTTACAGGTTTTCTATTTATTTGCTCTATCAATTATTGAGGAAGGGAAAATTGTAATTAAATCTCTGCAATTTAATCAGCTTTTGCTTCACATATTTTGAAGCTAATTATTAGTTACATAAACATTTAGCTTGCTAGTCTGTTGAACTGACCTTCCTCATCATTATGAAATGATCACCATTATCTCTGGTAATATTTCCTGCTACAAAATCTACTTTGACTGATGTTTTCTACTTTGATTAATATTAATATAGCCACTACAGCTTTCTTAAAATCAATATTAACAAGATATATCTGTCTTCACTCTTTGAATTTTACTCTATCTGTATATTTATATTTAATTGGGTTTCTTGTAGACGGCTTATAGTTAAGACCTTCTTTTAGATCCATTTGACAATCTCTGTATGTTATTATTTAGATATTACATTTAATGTGATTATAAATAAATTGGGTTTTCAATCTACCATCTTGCCATTTGTTTTCTATTTGTCTCATCCGTTCTTTTTTTATTTTAAGCTAGTTTTGTGCCTGCTTTTCGATTGAGTAATGTTTATAATTTAATTTTTTGTCTCTTTTATTGACTCAGCCAATTTGTCTTTTTAAAACTTAAGACAATTGTCTTTTATTTTTAGTGATATTTACAGTCTTCATCTTTACCTTGCCATAGTCTACTTTTAAATAATGTTATACTACTTCACTTATAGTATAAGAATCTTACAAAACCATCTGTCTACTCTTCTCCTATCCTTTGTACATGTCATATATTTTACTTTTACAAATGTTCTAAATCCCAGAAAAAAAAGTTTTATTGTGCTTAAAAAGAAGTTAATTATTTTTAATAGAGGGACATCTTTTACATATATTCATATATGTATCACTTTTGGCATTCTTCATTCCTTTGAGTATATTCAAACTTATATCTTGTATCATTTCATTCTGTATGAAGGATTTACTTCAGTCCTTACTGCAGTCCTGATCTGCTGGAGACAAATTTGCTAAACTCAGATATATAGATATAGATATAGATATAGATATAGATATGTATATGTTGTTGTTTGGTTGGTTTTTGGTGTTTGGTTTTTGAGACAAGGTCTCACTATGTAGTCCAGGCTGGCCTTGAACTCATTATGTAGCCCAGGTTGGCCTCGAATTCACAGTGATCCTCCTGCCTCAGCCTCCCCATAGTTCAGGCATTACAGATATGCACCACCGCCTGGCTCTAAGCTTCTGTATATCTAACAAGTGTACTTTGCCTCCATATTTAAAGTATTGTTTTGTTTTGAGTTAGGTATAGAATCATGGTTGACAGTTAAAAATTCCAAGACATTGCTCCACTATCTTCTGCTTCCTGAAGAGACATTATTTTTATCTCTGTTCTTTTGTACACCATTTGTCTTTTTCTCTGGCTTTTGAAATTTTTGTTTTGCTGATTTTCATCAATTTTATTATGATATGCCTTACTGTGGTTTTCTTTCTTTTTATTCTGATTGTGGTCAATTGAGCCTCTTGAATCTATGCATTTATAATTTTCATCAAATTTAGAAAACTTTGACTATTATTTTACAAGTATTTTTTCCTATCCTTCTGTCTCTTCTGAAACTCTAATTATATGTAGGCTGCTTGATCTTCCCCAAGAGCTGAATACTATAGTATTCCATTTTTTCCAGTCTTTCTCCTCTGTTTTTCAATTTCACTGATTGTTTCTATTGCCATATCTTCATGCTCACTAATCTTTTTTTCTGCAATGCCTACCATGCTGTTCAATCCATTCAATGTATTTTTAAACTCAAGACACTGTACTTTTTATTCCTAGAAGTCAAACTGAGTCTCTTTTATTGCTTCCTTTTCTGTCTTCTTCATGTTCATACTTTCCTCTGCCTTCTCAAAGATATATATAGACCATCTTTACAATGCACATGTTAATGTCTTTGATTACTAATTCTGTTGTCATTGTCATTCTGGGAGTTTTGATTATTTTTTTCTTCTGGTTATGAGTTGTCTTCCTGCTTTGTGTTCGCTGCCAAACACTGTAAGTTTATGTTGCTGAGTGGTAGTGTGGTGATTTTAATTCCTTTTCATTCTCTTCAATACTTTAGGATTTTGTTCTCATGATGCCATAGAGTCCCAAAAATGGGCCGGGGATTTAGCTCAGTGGCACTGCACCTCCCTCAGAAGCCCAAGGTCCTTAGTTTCATCCCTGATACCAAAAAAATAAAATAAAATAAAGAGTCCCAAAAATCAGCCAGCAGAGCAGTGCTAGGCCATGAAGGCATTTTTAATAGTCCTCAAAGACATTAGTAAAACAAAAACAGTGTGCTTTTTCCTAAAGCTAAGCATAATTGATTTAAAAAGTGTCTTTTGAGACTATGCCCATCTTAACTTTATGTGAAAATATTTGCTTATAGTATTGCTAGGTGAGAGATGTTATTTATTTGACATACTAAAAGTCAGTTCTTGTCAGTCCCTCCAAATTTTTTGACATTTTGCTGTGTGTAAAATGAAAATGACTGAAAACTCCTGCCCAATATAATGCCATGTCTTTTGAATAAATAAATAAATAAATGGAGGGTTTAAGGCAAATAAAATCTGTAGTTTACCAACTTACCTAAAGGAAGAAGAATAAACTGGGGAAAACTGGGTTGAGGATATCTCTAATTTCACGTTGGATCAATGCCCCATGAGGAAGGGAAGGGAGAACAGAGCGGGCCTAAAAAGAAAAATTGTTCTCCAAAATGACTGGATTGAGTTTCTCTGAATAACTATGCTTGGAATAGTGCCGTTTTGTTTTGCCATTTTCTTTGGACAGCCTGATCAAATACTCTGCCCATGTAAGGGAAATTGACCTTGGGAACAACATCCTGGGAGAAATGGCTGCTGCTCATATCCTTGGAGCCCTGAGAGCCAGAAAGACAGGTAGAGTGTCTTCCGTTCATGTGTTTCCCTCCACCTGTAATATCTCCTCATTCCTGAGCCCTGCACTATGCACAATGTGCTCCACTTTATTTTTAAAAATGTAAATAACAATCCTGAACTATGTGATGACCAGGAACACTGTCCCAGGCTGGCCATCATTGTGTCAGTACACCCAGAGATCTGCACAGAGTTCACGAACTTTGATAATGCCATTTGTGGCATCTGAACTCAGCAATGATTTGTTTAAGAGATAGAGACTCACTATGTTGTCATGTACCTGCCTTATCTTTCCCAGTAGCTGGGACTATGGACAGATGCTACTGAGTAGCATTAATCTAGTAATTAGTAGTAATTAATATTTTTAAAGTGAATTTTTCTCTACTCCTTTTCCTTTTCTGTCTTCTCTCATCTTTATTCTCCAAGAAATTCTTCTTACTTCTCCATTCTTCTCCCATCATAACTTTCACCAATTTTTCCAGCTATGAATTAGAAAACTGAAGTAAGAGCCCTCATAAGATTACAGTGTACTTTCTGTATCATCAAAGAACGATTATATTGTGATTGGCATAGGGGCAGCATTAAGGGAATATTATGATCATGCAATCCTTTAAAAATGAGAGAATCACAAATGGAAAAGGGTTGATTAAGGTTGGCCACCCCTGTCCTCTCTTTCACGAGCATGCATGGCCAGAGTTAATGGTGGTTGATCTTACCTTTGAAAGAGGGGAGGTAAAGAAACGTCATTTAAATGCAGCTCGGTAAACATCATAAACAGATCTGAAAATGAAATTTAGTGTTAAGAAAAGTGAGGGAAAGTTGGTGTATTCCTTGGCAAGTCAGGTGGTGAGAATTACATAGCATAAGTGTCTGGTCATGGTCTTAGAGGCTGGCATAATTATAGATCGCATTTTTCTTTTATGCCAACAGTGTTTTAGAAGACTTATAATGATATTATTGTCTGCTGTACTGCCACTCTTTTTTTTTTTTTCCTCAGTGCTAGGGATTGAACTCAGGTTCTCATGCATGCTAGGCTACCACTGAGTCACATGCCTAGGCTTTTTTATTTTATTTTGAGACAAGATCTCACTAAGATGCTGAAGCTGGCCTTGAACTTGACCTCCTCCTGCCCTAGGTTCCCAGGTAGCTGGGATTACAAGTGTGTGCTATAATGGAGAGCTTATATTGCCACTTTTTAAACTGAAACTATTACATTTTTTAATGGCCAATGAAATGATTCTAAGATTTTGCAATTATCCTCCTATTTTAAAAAAACAGAACATCTATTTCTTATTCCATTAGAGTTGAATTGAAATTAAACACAATTACTCTGTTAAATTTAATTCAAATTTAACTCTAATTTAAGCTCAATAAACAGCAGGCAGGTTAATGATTTCATTTTGTTTCCCCTGGCACCATAGTAGCTTTTTCATTACACACTACAGCAGAAGACATTATAAAACTCCAGACAATCTTCAGACTATTATTTCAGTGAGTGCTAATGATGGGTGTAAAGTGATTACCACTGAGTATGTATTTAGAACTGGAAATCATCCCGCTTGCTTTGTAAATGGTTCAACCTGCATGAATCAGAAAATAATTTTGAAATATCCACCTGAAAATACAAATAGTCATTTAAAAACATAAAAAATAATTAACCATTCAATAAACTTTTTTCTAAACTTAGTAGTATAAATGCAAGAGATAATGCATGTATCTCTTGAACTGAAATAATTATGGGATGTTTCTGATGGGGAATGTCACCCATGTTGTTAGTTTGGACACCAAGGGAGACTCCTCAAATCAAAGTTAACTGGTTGGATTCCACAGGGACAGTCACTTGCCACTTAGCCTTAATAGCATCATGTTAAACATTAAATGTAATTAGTAATATCACTGATTTTAGAACTAATGTTTATTGAGTATTTCTGTGTCCTTATCATTTGCAAGTTAACAAGCTAATTTGGAATTCTTCTACTTTCATGAAATCCAAATTAACAACCTGAGGTCACTTCTTTGCCTACCAAAGAGGTTTTTTGCTTGTTATTTTGTTTGGCCTTTTTTTTGAGATGGGGTCACTACGTAGTTCAGGCTGGCCTTGAACTCACTGTGTAGCCCAGTCAGTCCTCCCAGGCAGTCCTCCTGCCTCAGCTTCCTGAGTGCTGGGATTACAGGCCTACGCCAACACCCCAGCACCAAGAAGTTCTTAATGTCCCACCTTCAATGATGGAAAACACAAAATGGGATCAGAAGTGTTAAGATCCAGCACATCCAATGGAATTGTGAAATGTCTTAACTATTTGATTATGTCCTTCCTCCACTTAGGTAAACTACCAGTCTTAAAAATTACAGTCACTCCCCAGATCTCTTCCGATACCTTTAGATCTATTTGGAAAAATAGCAAGAAATCTAATACTACCTATAAAAAGAAGAATAAGGTACGTTCTTGGGTGTTTGTGTTGGTGAGTAGTGTCCACCAGGGGACGCTGTATGGAGCCTGGTCATTTGACTAGGGTAGATGGCTCCATTAGCTGCAGATTTCACACTTAATATAAAAATTTAGGTTCTAGATCACACTCCCCTAATCATTGTTGCATTCGTATGCATGCTGATTCTATCAAGAGATAAGAAGCAAGAGAACAACAGGGTTCCCTCAAAGTCTAGTACACACCCAGCCTCCTCTTTAAATCCTCTCTCCCACCCAAATCCTAGTTCTTACTAGCTTGTTGTGGATCTGAAAAGGTTTACTTAAACTCGTTGTGAAGCTTGTGCAACCTCGTGGAAGGCAATGATTTATGTGTGTTCATGCTCTACTATGTAAAGTTGACCTTTTTTCCTTTTTTTAATTTATAATTTCCTGTTCCTTATTTCACAGGCTAAAAACTGAATACAGAGGCTGTATTTCCCTGTGGAAGTCATCTATTTCCATGGCGAACCAGACATGTCTAGAAAGACTGATTGTTCTGAAATAATATTTTTCATTATAAATAAACCCTTTCTAAGCTTTAAAATTAGATAAGACTATTTTATGAAAGTTCAAGGTAGCATTAATCCGATGGCACTCGTCAATGTCAAATGTATAAAAGTCAGTTTTCATAAGTCGTGCATGTGAAATACATGATTTGAAAGAATCATATTCTTTACCTAAGACTCTTCCTTCATAAATATGCCTATAGTTGTGGAAAAATAGGGATTTTTGGAAATAATAACCATTTCCTAAAAGACAACATCCCTAAAAATTGGTCTCTTCCCCAAATGAGGAAACTTCTGATCCCTCAATTGCACCATGAATAAGCCCCATGGGAAATAGAAGAGGTGTGGTTGATAGATGTGTGGATGAGACATTGGGTTAGTTTAGTTGTATGTGCCATGAAAACATGGTGCAGACTTTGGGAGCACACACTGGGAATTAGCTATGCCAGAATTCTCTGTGGAGAACCTGCTTTTTCCAGATGTGTGACCTGGGGCAAATCTGCTAAACCTACTGTGCAACTTAGTTTTCCCTTGTGTAAGAGAAAAATAAAAATAGCACCTAGCTCATTTGATGAGCTTTGAGTGAGCTGCCACATGTCAAGTATTTCAGGACAATGTATTCTTCATAAAAGTAAGTATTAGGGGCTGGTATACTGTCATTGTTAGTGTTAGGACTGTCACTATCTCACTTATGATGTAAGAAAAATATAAAAGAAAAAAGGAACGCTTTAAATCTCCTTATTTTGACTCAAAAAAAACCAACTTCATTCTTCTGTATACAAATGTAGCCCCAGGAGGCATCATGGCAAATTTTTTGAAAGGCACATTACAGTGGGTGCATAACACCATGTTTATTTTTTAGAAGTATTTCTATTGATGAATTATTAATTTTAATTTTATGAGTATTTTTATATTAAACAATGTATACTTAACAGGAGAATAAAATATCAATAAAATATTAAATTTTTAATATGTAATGAGTGTTTAGAATAAACATCAACATTTTCAAAATCAACTCTTTAGCTGCTTACAAGATCTAAAAAATAACAGCAGAGGGCCAGGGATTTAGTTCAGTGATTCCACCGCCTGCCTCACAAGCGCAAGGACCTGGATTCAATTCCCGGTACCACAAAAAAAAAATAAAATAAATAACAGCAGAAATAAATTCCTATATGAACTACAAAAAAAATACAAAGAAAACTCTACCACAGAAATAATCTTTGCTTCAATTATTATACCTAAGGCAGTCTTTACACATGAGCATAGCATGTTCCATACTCAAGTATCACACAGATAGCACATGTGTTTTGTTCTCCTGTCTTTTTTGGTAGGACAAAGTTGACATCTTGCTGGTCTTCCTGTCTTCTTAGGAGATTCTTGTGATGTTTCACCTGTTTATTGGTCTGCTTCAGAATACTTTTTTTTTTTTTTGGTACTGGGGATCAAACTCAGGATCTTGCACTTGTGAGGCAGGCGGTAGAACCACTGAACTAAATCCCCGGCCCCTCCAGAATACTTTTGAGAAGTTCTTTGGTCAGATACATATTGTTCTTCCTCTGTTGTAATTGATCATTTATCAATTTCAGTGCCAATCCTCTAAGAAAATTTCTCCATGATATTTTGTGCTTGTTATTTTCTTTGTAAACTATGAAACTATTAATGGCTCACATGTTTAGAATTGAGTAAAACACAACCATTGATCAATGTTTTGTGTTTTGAGTGACATTACACTTGCTGCTCTGCCTTTCATTTTATTGTAAAATGTGACTATTGTTGGTTCATTTGTGTTAAGGATTCACTATCAATCTTTTGTTTGTGTGTGTGTTTTGAGATAGGGTCTGCCTATGTAGTCCAGGCTAGCCTTGAACTCACTATCCTGCCTCAGCCTCCTGAGTGCTGGGATTACAGGCATGTACTACCATCCCAGGCCTCACTATCACTCTTATCATAATGGTATAACATTGACAGTATCAATATTACTTTATTTTTCTTGGACATATAGAAGGCCAATGTAAAGATCTGGTGGCTGAGTTCCAGGATACATTTCTAAATTCAAAGTGTAAAATGTCTTTGTATCTACCAGGGCATATATTTTTATACCATATTTGGAAGATGCACTTGGCACGTATTGCCAAAAGCTTCAACAACCACAAAATGATCCAAGTTGTTTGTCAGTTGTTGTGCATTCAGATGGTGTATAAATTGCTTGACACTTTGAAATAAAGCTTTCAAAAAATGAGTGAATAGCAGCCAAATTGTCAGGGGGTTTTTTGTTTTGTTTTGTTTTTCCTTTCTTGGCGGGTCTTTTTGTTGTCAAAATGTAAGCAATTTTGAAGGAAACTAAATCTCTTGAGTGTCATTTCTGTTCTAAAAATCTCAACACCACATCTGTCACTTCTCCATAAATCCTTTAGATTCTGAAGATTAGAATGATAAAGTCCTGCTATGAAGGCTTTTAGTTCAGATAGTGAGGTGTCAGGATAAATACATTTTTGAGTATTACTATTGATGCATATAGAATGTTTTCTTGTATTCCATTACAAGTGTTTTCCAAACATCTTGTAGCATATCATCTGTTACAATTTCCAACATTGAAACACAGTGTTGGCATTCTGTCCAATAAGTTTCACCCCTGGCAAGAACCTAATAACATTTTTCTGACCTAGTTCTAACACTGGATCATTCAAATATATGTGACTATTCTGCAGCATTTTGACTAGTCAAATATTTATTTATATTACTGTTTCCTTCCTCATATGAATCAAGGTCTTCATTCTGTACTTCTCTATCTGTTATATCTGTCATATCTGTCATATATTGCTAACCTCTTTGACTTACATGATCCAAGTCATCATCGATAGCCAACTCACTTAATCACTCACTTTCAACCTCCTCCCAAAATTATAAATGTGAGTTTTCATATGACACTATACTGAATTGGGCTAATTCTACAAGAAAAATCAAAAGAAAACGTTCAATAAGAAAGTTATAAATACACAAAAATGTAACCTGGCACATAATGTGAGTAAAACTCACCCATTTACACTTTAACACATGTATATACACCTTGCTGTTCATCATATCAAGTGGGTGAACACAAAGATTGCTTCCTGTATCCCTCTAGTGCAGCTACTGAGATGAACAGCCAGCTTCTGTTATGCTAAAGTACATATTGTCATTAGGAAAGTATGGTATGGGCATCTATGACCCAGCAGTAGGAACCAAGGTTAACAAGTACTTGCAAGTTCATGGAAACTACTGTGGAGGTGGGCATGAGGTAAAGTAAATTATCTCCACTCTTATGGATCTTAGGACATAGCTAAGAAGACAAGATCCTCACCCATTAAAATAATACTAGAGTAGAAGAGTTGAAATAATATGTCATTAGATAGGATAAGGAAAGCAATTTAACAGATCTACCAGAACTGGACAGGAATGCTACAGATGACATTTGAAAGTAGGTTGGGCCAGTAGTGTGGCAGAACATAACCAAATGGGATATTTAGATTTTGTTCTGATGATAATGTGGAGCCATGGAACATTTGAGTGGGAGTGTGCCAGGTGGTAAGGGGATTGTCAGAAGATTAATCAGGCACTTCAGAGTGAGTTCCAACTGAGTTGAAGAATGAACAGATGGCTACATCTAAAGGGTGAAGAAGGGAGACAAGTCAAAGAGCCTATGGTTTCAGGCCAGGACAATTACACTCAAGAGAGAATCATACCTATGGCAGAAAAAGGGAACTCTTGCCTGGTATGGTGGCGCATGTCTGTAGTCCCAGCACTCGGGACACTGAGGTAGGAGGATTGCTGCAAGTTCAAGGCCAGCCTGGGCTATATAGTGAGTTCAAGGCCAGCCTGAACTACATAATGGGACAATGTCTCAAAAAAAAGCAACTCTTTTTTTTTTTTTTTGGTACCAGGGATCGAACTCTGGTCCTTGGGCTTTCAAGGTAGGTGGTGCGTAACCACTGAGCTAAATCCCCGGCCCCTTTAGATTGGAGTTTTTTTGTTTGTTTGTTTGTTTTGGTACCAGGGATCGAACTTGGGTCTTTGCGCCTGCATAGCAGGCATCGAAACCACTGAGCTAAATCCCCAGCACCCCCCAAAAAAAGCAACTCTTGAAGGGAAACTATGGTTTGCAAGAAAGGAAATGAACTCCTTTTGTCAAGTTTGAAGCAATAATAAGCCACTGACATGACCCCCTTATACAAAAACTCCACAGAATTAAGTAAAGAGGTAAAAGCACACACAGAGCACCATTCATCCACACCTAGAGCTCACAAAGATTCAGTGTGGTACAATTTTAGAAAAACTCATCAAATCCAATCCAAAACTCAACTTTCTTAGGAAAGTCACCAGGTTTCTGAAGAAGGTATCAGGGAGATGTAGACAGGGGTTTTTCTATATCACTTTTCACCTATTTTATACATCTTCTTATTCACATCTGAAATTGATCTCCATCACACAGTTGATTGATATCTTACACTGAATGAAATATGGTTTGGAGGACTTAAGGAATTCTCCAAAAAGGCCGATTGGCTTGTATGCTTTCAAGTGTGTGTGTGTGTGTGTGTGTGTGTGTGTGTGTGTGTGTTGCAAGTTGAGGGCCAGTTGAGGGATTTCTGGCCACAATGCCTTCATCTAAGGCAAAGAAAGGAGTGCTCACTTCGGCAGCACATATACTAAGGCAAAGAAAGGCAAATGAACTTTATCAAACCAAAGAAGACAGGTAGATACCCAGAGACCTATGGGAGTGGACATAATTATTTCCAAGAAAGAAGTGAAATGAGCCACAGGTCTTGTGTGACAATGTTCTGGATAGTAGACTTGCTTAGGTGGGCATTTCAAGGAGGAGGGCCCATATAAATTTGGGGCTGACTTTTATCTCTCACCTCTAGGAACAGTTCTCTTACTTTGTTGGGGTTTCTTTGAGGCTGTTTTGTTTTGTTTTGGTACCGGGGATCAAACTTGGGTCCTTGTTCTTGCAAGGCAGGCGGAACCACTGAGCTAAATCCCCAGCCCTTTCGAGGCTTTTTTTGAGAAAGGATCTTGCTGTATATTTTGGGCTGTCCTTGAACTCACTGTGTAGCCCAAGCTGGCCTTGAATTTATAGTAATCCTCTTGCTCAATAAGTATCATTACATTTTTTTAATACAGTGAAGAGATCCAAAATATGCCATCACAGGATAAGGATTATTTTGAGCTAAAGGCATCTGAGAATCAACAGAGACCAGAAGATTTGTTTCTGAACGCTTATCTGCAGTACCTCTCAAAAGAATTCAGCTGCCATAAGTCCTTTCCCCAGGTATTTAAAAACCAGGAAACATCAGTACCTAGATACTAAATCACCTACTAGGCACTGTCACAAAACTATCATATCTGTAGGGGTCAGTTTATCTTTCCTAAAAGTTGGTTCCCATAAGCATCTCTTTCCCCACATCTTGCCTTTATTGGGATGGTATATAAACTCCAAATCCTAACTGCCTATTTGAGTCTATTTTTCTGAGAACTTTCACTACTTCTGTGAATAAAAACCTGACTTTTTTCTTACTAATCTATTTTTGTTAGCTTAATTCACAAGATGCAAACACTAAACAGGGTAGAGTAAGTTTTTCCTCTCTAACAAGGAAAAAAATTATTTTACTAAAGATGACTAGCATGAAGGAGGAAATGAAAACCTGAGTAAGGATCAAAGAAATAAACAATGAAGCCAGGTGTGGTAATGCACACCTGTAATCCCAGCACTAGGAGGCTGAGGCAGGAGGATCCCAAATTAGAGCCCACCCTAAGTAACTTTGCTACTTAGACTTTCTGTCTCAAAATCAGAAAGGGTCTGGGTATTTAGCTCAGTGTAAAAGCCCTAGGTTCAATCCCCAGTACCAAAAAGTAAACAAAAATATTCACTTACACTGTTGTGTCTGGGGTGCAGTGATGGGCTGAGCAGCTAACCAGGTAAACTCAGCACCAATAAAGAATTAATGGGACAGAGTTTAAGAAAGGAACACACTTTATTTGTGAGGAAAAAGCAGACTGAAAGCTGCCCCAGAGAGGAGGCAGGGGGTCCCAGAAATATGGATTCCCCCTGGGGCTTTGTCCCCAGCTTCTTTTGTTATATTTTGAGGGACCCTTACCCCCTGGAACTTGTCACAATCTGATTGGTTCCCTGGGCTGTTTTAGATACCAGGCCACAAGACCCTAATCGAGGCACCATTACCTATGTGTACATTCCTTTTGGTGGGCTTTGCCCGGTTTCTTCCCACCCCCATGTCTTTGTCAGGGCCTTATCTCTGGGAGCTACAGCTTGGTTAGGAGGAGTAAAGACGAGGCAGCTTGGAGTCAGTGATTAAGTAAGGGGACGTGTGTTGTCTGGTACAGCAATACAGCGACCTCTAGAGTGGAAATCCATATATATTTTTATATACTAAATAAGTGCTTTCCTTTAAAATAGGTAGCCCCCTCCCCTTTTTGCCTCCTTTGCATTTTACTGGAGATGGGGAGGGGTGGGAGTTTTGGTTAGTGCACCTAGTTCCCTCCTGCTTTGCTTAGCAGCTCTCCCTCTGCTCTTGTTAATTGCTCTTGCCAGTAAAGTTTTAACTCTTTCTAGTCAGGATTGGCCTGAAAACCTAATCACGCCCTTATTCTATTCTTTCCCTGCCTACAGACCCCTACCCTTACAACACTCTGAAAAAAAGGTTTTTCTAAAGGACTTAAATATTTTGCTTTAAGGAAAAATATCAAAACAAAAGGAACCCTGTCTTCAGTGTACTGGGCATAAGGAATACAGATTACAGAGTTGAGGAAACAGGTCCTGAGATCTAGAGCCTGAGTCTCAGCTTCATTCCCACACCCTTCTAACTGGTGAGAGTTAAGTGTAAGGTTTGAACTGGATGAGGACCTGAGCAGGACACAAGGTAAACATGTACTTGTTTTGCTTCACTCTTCTCCAAAGCCACTAAGTTCCTGTCCTTTGTATGTTTATGACCTAAGACAAACTTCAGGAAACAGAGAGGCAAATCACAGGAGTCTCCTCCCTATATCGCAGGCCGTGCTTGAACCCCACCAAACCTGGACGTCCCATGTCTGTCCCTGCTCTGTTTGCTTGTTCCACTGGCCTCTTGCATGTTGCTTCATTCCTCTCTATCACTCTGCAAAAGCCTTCCTGTCACTCCAAATGCCAAGTCATTGCTTCTTTTCTCCCAGCCCCCAGCCCTCTCCTCCCACCAGTTCTCACGATGCACTGCAGGGAGGAGGCTTTCCAGATTCCCCACCTGAACACAACACAGGCCATTCCTCACGCTTGGGCACTCTTCAGCCTCACAGCTGTCCATCTGAGCTTCCCTTTCCTCATCAGAATGCTGCTGTCTCTCCAACTGAGTGCATTTTATCCTCATCTGGTTCCAGCCTTCCTTCTTTATAAGCTGTCTTAACATTTACAGCCATCCACAGTCAGATGTGTGGTCATTGCAGTGAACAGAATGTGTTTTCCATGGCTCATCTGAGTTTGTTTATAGACATTTTTGTATGGCTCATAAAGTTAGTGTAGTCAGATCTACATCAACCTTCACTATTGCTCTACTCTGCCAACAGCTGGAAGAGGCCAGCTGGATCTCTTCACTCCTCTCCTGCTGGGAGCTCCCACGCCCCCCCCCCCCCCGCCGCCCTTCCAACTGTACTTTAGTGAGGCTTTCCTTCACTGCAGCAGTCCTCACAGATGTCCCGGTCCCATTACAACACTTAACAGACAGCACACATCCACATCTAGCCACAGGTGGCTGTGTTGTCACTTGTTTCTACATATTTACACATTACTGTCAACCCCTATTCCCAAGATCAGCAGATGGTGAGACGCCCAGCAAGAGCTGGGAAGCCCTGAATCCCAATCCTGACCCCACTAGGTGGTGACAGGAATCAGGTATCCCACGTTCTCACAGCCTCAGCTGTCTTATCTTCCAAGTGGAGATGCTGTCTGCTTGACTGGGGCAAACAAAAGATGGCCCTGGGCTACCAGTACAACTGGTTTCAAACTGTCACCTCCACATCACAGCCATGTGCTTGTCCAGTTACTTGCTTCTCTGGGCTTCATGACTTCTACATAGAAGGAGGTGGTTAAACCAGCCCTAAGTGTAGTCTCCAGGGTTTTCGGGATCCTGTTAGGGGACAAATGACATCAACTCCTCTTTCCATAACAACGTTCAGAGCTTTTTGCCGTTTTCCACTCTCATTCTCTTCAGAGTATGGTGGAATTTTCCAGAAGCTACATGTAATGTCACTGCTCCAATGATAACCTGTAATGGGTTTTAATTATTTTTATAAGAATTAATATTTTAAATTTTGTTTTGATTTTATAAAAAGCAATCATTTATTTGTCTATCCAAGTATCTTCTACATAAACAAAAGCTCATTAAAGACCTAAAAATTTTGAAGTGTAAAGGAGTCCTGAGACCAAAGAGCCTGGAACACTGAACCACATTTAGATCGCTAAAGTCATTTGTTCAACAAAAATTGCGCCTCCTGTGGCCCAGGCAAGATTAAGATACCAAAGGAAAGGTGGTCCAGTGGTCTCAGTCTCTTCTCTGATAATTTACATTTGGGAGGAAGGGACAAACGAATAAATTAACAAGGTGGTTTCCTGGGAGCTGCAACTTTGATACAGGCCTGGAGCAGGCCAACGTCCCTGCACTCTGCGCGCTTGCTCAGACTAAACACCCAAGAATGGGGCAGCCAGACTTCGGCCCAAGTCGCCGGAAGTCCCCAGCAGCTGGCTGTCCCAGAGGGGAGGGCGGAGCCTCAGTTCCCGCCCCGGCGCCGGCGCCAGTGACGTCACTGCGCCTCACCAGCCAATCGCGAGCTGTCGGTTCGAGCTCCGCCGTGGTCTGCGGCCTGCGGGCGGCGCTGTGGCCCGTTGGGCGGCCCCGGGGAGTCGCCGTAGCCGCTCGCCTTTCCCGACCCAACGTCTTCGCCGCCAGCTCCGCGCCGCCGTCATGGCCGACGTAGAAGACGGCGAAGAGCCCTGCGCCTTGTCCTCTCACTCGGGGAGCGCAGGCTCCAAGTCGGGAGGAGACAAAATGTTCTCGCTGAAGAAGTGGAACGCGGTGGCCATGTGGAGCTGGGACGTGGAGTGCGATACGTGCGCCATCTGCAGGGTCCAGGTGATGGGTAAGCGCTGCACCCTGGCCTGGCGGCTGCGCGGCCTCCTCCGGCGGTGGGGGACAGCGAAGTGGCTGGGGTCGCATTGCGGCGCGCATCCCGCCCGGGTCTGAGGCAGAGCCCTGGGAGGCTGGTGTTCTAAAGAGAGAAACGCGCCCTGAGCGGAGGCGCTGAACGAGGTAATTTCAAGTAGCGATGGGCGTTACCAGGAAAAATAGGTGACTTGATGGGAGCTGGGAGGAGCCACTTAGTTTGTGGGGCCAGCCCCCGTTTTTAAAGCAGAGGACAGAGGGGTCAGGGTAAATCCTGTGATTCAGCCACGCCCCGACGTATTATCCAGGGCTCATCTTCCACGAAAAAATATCCTCAGAGAGGCACGCGTGGAAGTGAAGTGTGTGCAGCTATTGTATTCCCTGATTGACTATTGCTACTGCCATTGAGCTGGCTTTTTAAAAGTATGGATTAAAGGTCTGAATTGATTTAGGTCGGGTCGGGTAGAATTCGCTAGACTTGAAATGTGGTTCAAGAATGTTCAAGTTTCACGGGAATTGGAGAATATTAGCCCGTTGTCCCTAGACAAAACTTCATCGCCATCTTGCCTGTTCCCCACCATAGGATGCCATTTCTTCCAGACTGCCCTGATGTGGGGCCTTTGTGGAGAGAGACTGCTTTTAAAAATATTGGGTCAAGCGAAACGTTTCAGAATAGTTCAATCTCGTTGAGTTTTATTCTGTTCTATGATCTCAGACTACCTTGAAGACTGGTGCTATTTAAATACAAGCTATATATTTAAATTAGGACATTGTGAAAGCATCTTCAGTGGTGTTTCTTGAGGGTATTGAAGAAAACTGTGACTTGCCCTGAAAAATGAGAGAATTGTAGAAAATAAAGAGAATCGTGCACATTTCTTAGAGAATGAGACCTTAACACTACCAGAATCAAGAGATTCCTCGGCTTACTCTTTTTTCTTACATTCATAAGGGATTGTTTCAAAGGTTTGCAGCAGTAGGATTCAAATATTTTTAAAGACTTTGGGAAGATGGCCCGGTTTTTTGCATATAAGGTTTTTTAAAGTATCTGCTTGTATTTCACCCATCCCACCCTACCCCTTAAGAACAAGTCGTAATTTCCAGTTTGAGAGATATTTTTAACTGATCCAATCATCTTGATCTTATTCTTTTATGGGACAAGCTTTGCAAAAATTTTGTCTGCTCCACCCCCCCCCACCCCTTTTTAAACTGGAGATTCAACCCAGGACCTTAGCACTGAACTACATCTGCAGCTTTTTTTTTTTTTCTTTTTTTTTTGAGACAAGATTTTGCTGAGTTGCCCAGGCTGAGCTGGAATTTGGGGTCCTCCTGTCTTATCCTCTCAGAATACTGAGATAACAGGTGTGCACTACCACACCAAGCTAAACTTTTCTAGTTTAAAAAAGGAGGGAGAGGAGAAGAAGAGAAAGTAATAAAGATCAAGATGTTGTATATAAATTTAGGCATGGCAGCACATGTAATCCCAACATTTGGAGGCTGAGGCAGTAGAATTGCTGTGAATTCAAGGTCTGCCTAGCCTGTATCATGAGTTCAAGGTCAACCTGAACTACCTAGTGAGAACCTATCTCAAAAAAAAAAGTTCTGTGTAAATGTACAAACCCCCAGGATTATTGTATTCCTTATGTGCTATAAATATGTACTATTTACAACTAATAATAATAAAAATGTCCCCAAAAGGGCATTTAAAAAAGATTTCTCTTTAAAAAGCTATTTTTAAAGCACAAGGACCCAAGTTTGATCCCCGGTACCAAAAAAAATTTTTAAATAAAATAAAAAAATAAAAAGCTATTTTCTCCAAAGGAAAAAACTTTTCAGTAGTAGGTAGCATTGTAGAACCTAAAATAGTGATTGAAATTTAGCAACAAACTTCACTGTGATATTTAAAGTAAGTCAAAGTATGGGCTATAAATGACTCACATTCATCATTAACTTGCTAATTATAGCCAGTATTCTGCTACTGCAAGATTAATCTTGTGTATTTACAGCACCCAAGCTTTGGTTTCAGAGAAATATTATGGAGTAGACCTTTATATTTTGTTTATGGGGTGTTAGTGGTCACTTAGTGGTTAGGTGACAGCCAAAGGAAATTGTTTTTCAAACTTCCTAGTCCTTATCCTAGCATCGTTCTAAAAAGTGCTACCATTGTATTCCTTAGAAATGTGCTCTTTTAGATACTAGGAACTTCACTAAAATTTTTTTTCTCTGAAACAAGGAATTTGTATAGGTCTGGGTTAATTTTTGATGAGCATAATTCAGCTTTCTGGCTACTACAACAAGAATCAACTCTGTCCCATTTGCATAATTTTTGCAATGTATCTCACACACCAAAATGGTTTATCATACCTATCACCCCAAGAATCTCCTGTGACCTCATTCTGATGTGGGTGACACTCCCCTGGATCCCACTGTCCTCCCTTTACTGGGAAAGGAGCAGATGGCACAGTGAGCAAAAAGTATGAGAAAGGGGAGAAGGTTTGGTAGTGCAGCCAGGTTATAAAAGTCCGAGTAATCTTTCATGATTGCATGTTAACGTGGACATTTCAAATAACCTTTTGGAGCCTTTTCTAATGTGTAAAAGAAGTAATTAGGATCACCAGTCCTAATGTTCTTAAAATTGGGTGACTGCGCAGAACTAGAGCCACGTACAGGTACTGTCTTCCCTGATAAATCAGGATCTTCGTGATACTGCATTGTTTGCTTGTCTAGCTCCCCCTTTGCTAGTGAGCTCCTTGAAATGCAGCCTTGTTCACTTTGGTGTTGCCAGAGCATAAATCCTTGCAGAGAATAGATGCTCAGTAATTACGGAACTGAAGAAAGCCTCAGGAGGCATGGTTGTTTTTCATCCACACTGAGGAGGCCAGGGTGGTGGTGTTTTTTCAAGGGTAAGAGCATGTGGAGAGGAGCAAATGCCTGAGCATAACCCAGTGTAAGAAGAGAAGCAGGATCCAACTCTGCTGTTTCTATTTTTACAGAGTTATTTTTTTCCACTTATGCTAAAAACTTTTTTCTGTTGATTTGAACTTCTTTTAAATAACTTTTGACTCCTCTTCCAACCTAATGAATGAGTCCATTTCATTGGTTCCTAAATATTCTGTATTACCTCCCTCATCAAGCAAATAGTACTACAGAATGAATTTTGAAAACTTCCTGATTCAACATACAGGTTCTCATCCCTAGTATTTATTCCCAAGTAGTTTATTAAATTACTTCTCCATTGTTGGGTGGATGCTTTGTGCTCAGACTTACCTGTAAGTGGAGTATTTTCTTTAATTAAAAAAAAAGAACCTAGTATTTAGGTATACCAAGTATTTACTTATTTTATCTGTAAAGCTCTTACAGGTAGTTATCACTCTTACTTTATATGCAGATAGCACATAGAATGATGCCTTTTCTACAGGTGAGGGAATGGAGGCTCATAAAGCTCCCTAATTGGTCCAGAGCAGCTGGTGAGGTGGTATTTTACAGTAGATCTGCCTGGCTTCCTGGCCCTCGCTTTCCCTCTGAGTCTCACCAGTCTTATTTGTATGACCTCAGCAGTGACCTGTTGGAAACGTGCAAAATAGTTTATTTTAAAGGAACTCACAAGTATCTTAGGGAAGAAAGTAAGAAATTACTTTTTATGAATTTCTCAAAGGAAATTTCTTTGCCAATAAATAGTCATGAGTCAAAATTTGTTTATGAAAGAAATAATTTTTAATTTTTTATGTAGATTACAGTCACATAGTTAAAATTTTAAGAAGCTATATGGTGAAAACTCCTTTCCATTCTGTCCCCTACCAGTAAACTTTTTATTGGTTTCTTGAGATTCCTTGCATATATTCTTTATATATAAGCAAATACCGATACAGAGGCATGGCTTATTTATAATGGTGTCTTGAAAATAAACTACCTCTAAAATTGATCCATATGAGTAAGCAAACCTGGTGAGCTTATAGTAACTGGTGAGATAGTAGAACATGGCATATTTCTCTACCAGTTTTTTTCCTAGCGGTGCTGTCAAGGCATCTTTTCATCAGAGCTTTTAAAAATAGTCATTAATCCTTGTGAAATTGCTGCTGGTCATAAGTAAATTAATAAAAATGCCTTGTACTTTATTCTTCTTTAAATAGTTATTTTCAGATGAAAAATTAATAGTGACTTAGTTAACTTTTCTCATTGCTGGGACAAAATTACCTGACACCAAAAGTTTGTCACAATTTTTTTTGGTACCAGGGATTGAACTCAGGACCTTGTGCTTGCCAGGCAGGTGCTGGCACCACTGAGCTAAATCCCCGGCCCCACCTGACACAAAAAGTTAAAGGAGGAAAGGTTTATTTACCTCATGGGTTTTTGGTTTTTTTGTTTTTGTTTTTGTTTTTGTTTTTTTGGTAAGGGGGATCAAACTCAGGACCTTGCGCTTGTGAGGCAGGCAGTGGAACCACTGACCTAAATCCCCGGCCCTAATGAGGTTTTTTTAAATTAAATTTTATTTTATTTTATCCCTCTTCCCCCCCTCAAGCCCTTTCCCCTCCCTGTGTACAAAAGCTTTGTTTTTATTTTTTTCTTCTGTTTTCACTTTTTTTCTTGTCCCTTCCTTTCTCTCCCTCCTCCCTTCTTCCCCTTCCCATCTGAACACTTTTTCCCCTTTCCCAACATCCACTACACATTCAGTCCTTGTTTCACTTCAGGTTTCTCACACCAGAGAAACAATGCGGTATTTAAACATGTGTGTCCGAGCTATTTCACTTAGAGTATGGTCTCAAGATCTATCCATTTAGCTATAAATGTCTGAAGCTCAGCCTTTGTGGCAGAGTAGTACTCCATTGTATAAAAAAATCACATCTTTATCCACTCAGTTGATGGGCATTTGGGCCGTTTCCAGGATTTGGCTATTACAAATTATGCCACTATAAACATGAGTGTGCATCTATCACTGTGGTATTGTGTTTTTAATTCTTTCAAGAAGATACCAAGAAGAAAAATAGTTGGGTCAAATGGAATCTCTAGTTTTAGTTTTTTGAGGAATCTGCACACTGATTTCCACAGTGGTTGCACCAGTCTGCACTCCCACCAACAGTGGAAAAGGGTTTGTTTTCCCCACAACCCCGCCAACATTTGTTATTGATTTCTTAATAGCGGCCATTCTTTCTGGAGTAAGATGGAATCTCAGCATTGTTTTAATTTGCATTTCACTAATGACCAGTGATATTGAAAATTTTTTCATATATTTATTTGCCATTTCTAATTCTTTATCTGAGAAGTGTCTTTTCATTTCAGATGCCTATTTTTTGCATTGGGTCTTTAAATTTGGAGGGTCTGATTTTTTTCGGTTATTTATATATTCTAGATAATAGTCCTTTATCTGAATAGCTGGTAAAAAAATTTTCCCACTCTGTGTGGGTTGTCTCTTCATTCTGTTAGTGGTTTCTCTTGCTATGCAAAAGCTTTTTAATAAGATGAGGTCCCAGTTGTTGATTCTTTATAGTATTTCCAGTGTGGTCTGGGTTTTGTTCATGAAGTCTCTGCCTACTTCTATGTCCTCAAGCATTCTCCCTATTCTGTATTCCAACAGATTTAGTGTTTCTGTTTTAATATTTAGACCTTTGATCCATTTCGATTTTAGGTTAGTTAGCTCACAGTTTATAGAAGTTTCAGTCCATAATGGCTGCCTCCCAGGCAGCGTGGCTTTGCAAAGGAGAAATAGTTCATGGCAGGCAGAAGGTAGCAAAGCAAGCAGCTCTTTCTATCCCTTATATCTTATCCAGGCTACTTAGGGTGGGTAGCACTTGCACCCTTAATCCTATTAATCCTTGAGCCTAGCATTGCACCATGAATCGATTCCAGCATCACACACTCTAGATCCAGTCACCTCTGAAAAAAACCCACTTATGACCCATGAGGTTTTGGGGAAGGACATCTAAATACAAGCCATAACAAATACTATGAGTCTTTTATATTTATCTCTAACCCTTAGAGTTTTTATTTGACTTTGAAGTGTTTGGGTTTTTTAATTGCATTCTGAGCACCAGAATGAGAATTGCTATTTCTTTACTTTCAGATGCCTGTCTTAGATGTCAAGCTGAAAACAAACAAGAGGATTGTGTTGGTATGTTATAATTTCTTTCTCTGGCTTTTTCAACTGAAGGTTTTTCTCTCAGTGGGAATGTTTGAATTTGCAATTAAGATTGACTTTATCAATACACAAAAATAAACTGTAAAGCAGTGATCCATTATTAATATAAAATGTGTTCTCAAAAGGCCTCAGTGGAATGAATCTGCAAGTCCTTTTATTGCTATAATTAAGAGTTGGATAACTGTCGCATAGTAAAGATTAATATGGCCATATTAAAGATTTAGTGATCAAAAAGGAATAATTATCTCCTATTAAAAAAATTATAAAATAAACAATTTGTCAAAACGTTGCTTTTTTTTGAGACAGAGTCTCACTATGTAGTCCAGGCTAGCCTCAGATTCTCTATGTGGCCAAGGCTGGCCTCAAATTCATGATGATCCTCATGACTCAGCCTCCCAAGTGCTAGGATTACAGGTGTGTGCCACCACACTCAGCTTTAATAATAAAGCATTTTTTCAATACTCATATGATACAGTATATAAAGAAGAAAAGTTCTAAGTCTCAGGCATTTTTTTAAGAATGTAGTTTGTGTGTTAAAATCTATTAAACTCTCTTTATAAGCTTGGACTATGAAAGTTGTCTTAGGATAGTTATTTTAAGCATTTCAAAGTTTTTCCTGTCTTAGTTCTCAGCATGATCATTTTTAGATTGCTTTTTACAGTGCCTGTAGATTTTTTGTAAGTAGTATGTTCTTTTTTTTTTCCATGTTTTTTTCATTTAGTCTTATTCTCTTCTCATGTCACTCAGTGGGTGAAGCAAGGGACAAACGAAGTCCAGTTTGAAATTGCATTATTTCATATTGTGGATGATTTTCTTGGTTTAAAGTTTTTCATGTTGCTTGCTTTAAAAATATTAATTGGGAATTGTGAAGAGGGGATCACTTTCTTTGATCACAGAGAGACACACCTCTCCTCAGCCAAAAATTTCATTTGTCACATGAGAAATTGTACTGCTTGTGGATAACTTAACAGAATTCATCACTTCTAGGAAATGGCTAACTAGAAGCATGTCGTCTCTTTAGAATAACTAAGTATGAATTGAAAACATTTAGAACTCATTATATCTTGGTAAATAAAAACCAGGAGGACATTTTTCAATAAAGTAAAGCTCAAAAAAAAGATGGTTAAGGTCAGTGTACATGACTGAGAAGGTCTGGAATCTAAGGAAGATGCAAGTCCTTTAATCTGACTTCAAGAAGACAGCATGTGGAGCTATTTAGGAACGAGGGGTCATTGGATCACCCACAGATTATCAAACAGAGATGGAAAGTAACTCCAAACAGTGACTAATTTTTTTAAGTATAACTTTCACATGTAAGTTTATGTATTTTTTGTAGGTAGAAAAAATATTTTGACAAAAGGTTCATCTTTGTTCAACATTATTCAACTTTTATTCATAATATAAAATAAGTTTAATTTTGAGCTTGGTAATTTCAATTGAAATGTCATGTAACTTTTCTTTTTCTTTCTTTTAGTGGTTTGGGGAGAATGCAATCATTCCTTCCACAACTGCTGCATGTCTCTGTGGGTGAAACAGAACAATCGCTGCCCTCTCTGTCAGCAGGACTGGGTGGTCCAAAGAATCGGCAAATGAGAGTAGTGGAGGCTTTCTTAGTGCAGTTGTTCACGACCCTGGTAGATCTTGCTGTCAAATGCCCAACAAAGGCTCAAACACTCAAGGGGACTACTTTTTCACATACAAGGCAATGGATCTGTTGTCTTCTGGGACTCATCAGAGGCGTGGTATAGCATTTTGTCAACTTAATTTTCAGGATTCTCTACAATTAAGAAGATAATTTATTAAAGATGATCTTTTCCTACCTCTATGGTGTGTGTCACATACACTGCTTAAAAGTGCTGTAAAAAAGGAGAAAAGTCCAAATCAAATGACCTTTATAATTTACCTATCACTATACAAGGGGCTGTAGAATAAGTTCTGTTCATAGGAGAACTTTTTGCATGCTTACAGTTGATCAGATAAAAAGAGTGTTATAGTAACAAATAAAGTGCAATTTCAAACCCAACTCTTAATCCTCAGTTTGTTCCTAATATTTATTTTTGGTGGGAAGAGCAGAGATTCCTTGACATTTTTATTTGATATATTGAGAATTTTAATTTTGGACCAGTGAACAGGTGTAAATAGAATTTAACTTTCAGGCATATAGGATTTTGATTGTTTTTTAAATTATTCTCTATCTTTGTCTCATCAAGAAAATGTAGATCTGTATTCATCTCACTGTTAAATCGTTGAGTATTAAAGGATAGGTATTTTCTAGTTCTGGAAAAATTATGTTGTAGTGTATATTTTTGGTAAAATATTAATGAAGGAAATGTTCATGTGTAATATTGGATCAAAAAGTTTTATCATGCAGTGCTATAATAAATGATTTACTCTGTTTCAGTTATAATTGTATGTACAACTTTAAACTTAATAAATAATTTATCAAGTAAATTCATACACTCTTTCATTTGGCAGTAAAACTTAAAACATTTATTGCCTGGCAGTATATTAAGTGAAAGAAAATACTTAATTCTATCAAATTCATTCATATTCAAGAGAGGTCATTTTCTTACAATTTACAGACCATGGGATCATTTTGAATTCTATTGTAATAGAGGTTACTGATAGACATTTAAAAGACAGAAACCTTAAAATCTTCATATCTGCAGATTCAGAGCTTGGCTTTCTGAATCTTTTTAAATCTAAGGGTTGTAGATGTGTAAAGATATTTTTAATAATTTGAATAAAAATTAGATTCTGCGTTTTTTTATATGGGCTCCATTCAGTATCTGAAAGAAATTTTTTCAAAATTTTCTAGCTACTAAAAAAGTTAAAATGCACAATTATGTCTGGTTCTTTGTATGTGTTTATTATTGTGCAATGAACTCTTACTAGCTTTCTGTTTGACCTTTTTGAAAGATTGCATCCATAAAATGAGACAAATATTTGGTTTTGCAGTGAGGCGGGAAGTAGTCTGAGTGTCGGGTTACTCAGGTCAGTATGACAGTATTTAAATGAAATCTGGGGGATGGTTGCAGTAAGTTGATTTTCCACAGGGCAAAACCAGTCCCACTACCTAACAAAGCCCTGTTTATATTCTGCATCAGCAACTGAGGGTGGAAGAGGAGGAGGGACGGGACTGAGCATCACTGACCCCATCCCGTGATGATCCCAAGTCATCTGCAAAGCCATCTGAAAGTCTGGTACATACTGTTCCATCTGAAAAGATATGCTGTGACATTTATTTGTGGGTTCTAACAAACATTAAGCATTGAACAGGTTTTTTTTTTTCTATTTGATTAAATGAGGTTGAAGGTTATTGTGTATTTGTAAATTTCAATTTTAAAATATATGTATATATGAATGAAAGAGTTAGGTTCTAAAGAGGATGTTGATCAGTGTTTCGTTATGTGGTACTGTGATCATGAGACACCACACTTCCCTGGCCTCCAGCCACTAAGAGTAGTACCATTTGTATTTGTACCATCTCAAAAACCCCTCACATTTCCAAAACATCTGCAGGGCACTCTTGGCTTTGTAGGGTGGAGGGTGGGGTAGTCTTAAGTGCTCAAACATATATATTACAAACTTGTCAGTCTCCCAGAAGCACCCCAAAATGGCACAGGCATGAAATAACTTTTGTGGGGATTGAACTAGGCAGCCCTCAGCTACATCCCCAGTGCTTTTTTATTTTGAGACAGGGACTAAGATGCCCAGGCTAGCTTTGAACTTGAGTCCTTCTGCCTCAGTCTCCTGAGAAGCTCAGATAACTGGTAACTACCACTAGACCAAGCATGAAATTACCCTTTTATAAGGTATCAGAGCATCAGTTATTATTTTTTGTTTGTTTTTTTCGTCCAGGGGATTAAACCCAGGCCCTCATGCATGTTAAGCGTGGGTTCTACTGGAGCCATACCTCTAGCCCAGGATTGCAATTTTGAATGACTGTTCTTGTAAAAAAGTCTATAGACCCAAACCTTGCTGATCTGTATGTACTCTAGAGGGTGAACAACTCTTAAATTAGAGGTACAATGTATTACACAAATGAAGTTGTAAGATTCACTTGCCAAAGCCTCCTAGGCCTAACAAGTAAATTCAAAATTTTTTGTTTAATTGAAGCTAGTGTAAAAAGCTTTACACTCAGAAAAATGTGTTCTTTCAAAGTTTAGTAAATATTTTATATTAGAGAAAACACTAGAGGTTTGGATATAAGGAAAATGAATTATAGTGTAACATTTTAAATTTTAAGCTATTTTATAAACATTTAAATGAAAGCAAAATACATGAAAATGTCTGCATGGAAGTTCCTCTTTTACCATGTTCGTATTCCCTTTGTGCCATGGTTAGCTTTTGCTCAACAAAATATAACTGACAGGGAAAGTATTTTCTTTGCATGTTTTTTTTTTTGGTACCGGGGTTCTTTGTGCTTTGCTGCTTAGTAATTAAGAGCTGAGACTCAGTAGCCCAGTGTGAATTTGGGTGAGTTACTTCCCTGCTCCATAACTCAGCCTCCTTGTGTATGGTGTAAATAATTCGTACCTCACTGGATTATTTTGAGGATTGAGGAATAAATGAATAAACTCAGAATTATATTTAGCACATGGTAAGTGCTAGTGTTATTTTTTTATTTTAGTCACTCCTGGAAGGTCCTTTTACTTTTTTTTTTTTGGTACTGGGGATTGAACTCAGGACCTTGTGCTTGTGAGGCAAGCGGTGGAACCACTGAGCTAATTCCCCAGCCCTGGAAGGTCCTTTTGATGTAGGGCACCAAGTAATCCAAAAAAGGAAATAATCCAAATAAAGGAACTATAACTCCCAACCTGCTAGATATCTGAAACACCAAGTTTGTGTTCTCTAAAATCGAAGAATGAATTCTAGGAACAAGAGAGGATAAGACTAGGAAGAATTTATTGAGCAAAAAGTAGCTTCTGTCTAAAAAAGACAAAGGGGTCCAGAAAGTGGGTTGCCCACCCACCCCACTTCCCAAAAGTGTTTTATTGAGCAAAGCCATGAGGTAAGGTGGGTATGAGGTGGGGCAAAAGTATAATCAACTAATAATATTACAAGTATCGTCACTTATTGATCCAATGGGAAATCATGAGGTAGGACAAAACTATGATCAATCAGTATGATTACAAGTGTAGTCACTTAGGAAATATTTTTGTTTTGTTTTGTTTTTGGTACCCGGGATCGAACTCGGGTCCTTGCACTTGCGCAGCAGGCGGTGAAACCACTGAGCTAACTCCCCGGCCCTCACTTAGGAAATACTGATTAAATGGGGAAGCTAGTCACATAGCAAGCGTACATGGACCATAGCAAGCAGTGTACATGGACTGAACAAGGATTTCCTTGGAAGAAATGGCTAGGGAGGTTTTGGTCCCCAGTTAAGGTGATAGATGTCTATATAGAATATCAATCACTGCTATTCATCTCTAGGGGAAGTAGCAGTTCTTCCTTTTTAAATCCTGGCCTTTTAGTAAATGTGTCTCGATTGTTTTCTGTGCTGAGAGCCAGGCCTTGCCTAACTGCCTTATAATATCCTCCAACTAGCTTAGCTGTATACAATATCCCCCTCTCTGAAGAAGTATCCCTAACTGCAGTTAGGGGAGAAGGGGCTTAGTTTATGTCTAACTGCTTCAAGCTGAGAATGGTCCATGTAAGGGATACTGCAGTCAGGGGCCCTCTTCAGAGAGCTGATCTGATGGGCCTCAGAAGTCAGTAGTTTAGCAGTTATGAACTTTCTTTGCAAGGTCACTCTGGTGGACCTCGGTTATAGGAATCAAGCTCATTTGTCATTGGTTCCATCTGCGTGATTGCTTGAAGTTTGGCAGCCTCTGGGCAAGAATAAACAAATTTTTAAAGAAATTAGAGCATGTATAATCAAAGCATGAGTACTAGAATGGAAAAGCAAGTTGGGGAAAGAGCCATGTTTAGAAACTTCTTAAGGGACTGAAATAGTGATTGTAACTTGCTGGCTCTTAGACCCCTTTATTGATGGAGGTTATCTATAAGTGATATCTTGTCATAAGTCCCTCTAGTTTTTTGGGGTTTTGAAGGAAAATTTTAGCTAAGAAATTGAAAAACTCTTGCTGAACTCTTACACATTTTGCCATAGTTTTTTTTAATGACCCATGACAGTGGTCAGCTACCAGTGTAGCTGGAAACTGCCAGAAAGGATCAGCAATTGGAGCCCCTTTTTATATCTAGCTTTATTACTATGGTCTTGACTTAATATCTTTAGTTATACTTTTCTACTGGGTGTTTAAGGCCAAGTTAAAATGAGACCTGTGTCAATCAAAATTAATCTTTTGCTATTATCAAAGTCAGTTAAGTCTCCTCAGGCATTACTTACTTTGGAACCATGTATAGATCCTCTCAATTCTTCTGTCAGTGTCAGCCATCAGGATGGGTCACGGCCTTGCTTGACCATGTTGTTTCCAGTAAAAGCATGGGAAACTTTTCCTTCTTGGTGACCTTCCTTTGGCACACTATGTTTGTTGATTTTTGTCCTCTGGGGTCTATCGAGTCTCCCTGCTGGGGAGGTTGGGTGACTCTCCAAAGTTTAGAATCCTGTAGAAAAGGTTTCCTCATCTCCTGGGTCTTCATTGATCTTGGAGGGTCAGGGTCAAAATATTGGCTCTTCTCTTAGCCCAGTTATCTTTCTAGTTCTGGTATCTAAACTTTAGTTGTTGAACACCCAGAAGAGAAAATCAGTGACATTAGTAGTAGTACAGTAGGAGCAGTGAGCTCAACTACTATAATTTTACCTTAATATCAAGCACTTTGAAATATAAAGTATAGTTAGAGAACTTATTTTTATCAAATATAGTGGTTCTAGTAGTTGAATCCCTGCAGAATGTTAACAGACAACAATTACATAGTTTTACAGAGAAAACTTGAGATCAAGAGCTATGCATAGTATTTTAGCATGGCAATCATGATGATATATTTGTAACACTTAAATGTCCATCTTAGTATAGAATAATCTTTTAGTCAAGCACCTCCATCTGATCACAAGACATTAAATGACACAAAGAAAACTCCCACCTAATTTGTTATCCTTTAATAGGATGCCATCTAAAGAGAATATACCAGCCTATAAATGTACCTTTGAAGTTGATAATGTCTAGCCTCTAATTTTAGTGTGTGATGTCATTTAGACTGTTTGGTGCCTCAGCATCCCTAAGTGTGGTGACACATATAACATACACATCACATAAATTCTTAAGAAAAACTATTATTTGACTGGTTATCTCATGTTGACATGTACCTCTTATCACAAGTAGCTGGAATGCAAGAGAAAGACAAATATCTAAGTCCAAAAAAGGTTATTACCATAAACAATATCTTAGAAGGCCTATACACCTGGAAGGCATGAATACGTTTAGTACATTGTGAAA